AATAGGAAATAGGAGTATTAATGTATTACCGATAATTGTTGTTACTTGAAGACTGAAGAAAGACCAGCTTAGAGTGGAGGTTTTTGTTTTTAAAGGGAATTGAAGTGGCACATCTCAGTAAAACACATAAGTTTGTTAGATAACTGACTCTAGAATTTTAAAAATCCATGCCTTAAGCATTTAGCTTTTGATTTTATTCACCATTTACTATAGCATTTTTTCATTCCTCTTGTCCAACATTTATGAAAGCCTAACTAAAGTAAGCAGTGTCTAGGCTTACATTAAACCTGCTCCCATGCAAATTGCTGTGACCATTAGCTGCATGCATTCAAACCAATTTCCAGCTGCCTATATAGACTAACTGGAAGTCTCTTTTATACAGGCAATTTTCATTTTAAAACACTGTGCTAGAAGTATATAATTTGTGTAATAAAACATTTTTGCCTTGTTATTGCCAGTAAAAATATCAGGAAGAAACCGCAATAGCTTTCCATGTAAAAATAAACACTGAATATAATAAGATGTACTTCATTGTCTTTTCCTGTCTATAACTCTACAACATAAACAATTTTTCTGTGCATGGTGCTGAATTTTTATCTCCTAAATGAAAACAAATACATAATTTGTAAAATTTTTTTTAATGTGAAAGGAATACAGCGCAAATTGCTCTGAGATTGTGGTAAAAGCAAACCAGGTTCATCAGTACCTCGGAAAGACGGTGTTTCGGGCTAGTGATAAATAGAAGGGAATGTGCATTTAGGAAGGACTTTTCTGCCCCACGGCTGTCCCAGGCTTAACATCTGAAAGCATTACCTAGCAGAAATTGGCAATTTCTTTGTTATCAAGCCATCTCAGGCAACCCGAGCACATTCACTAAAGCTGAATTCACTTTCTGCCAGCAGAACCCATTTCATGCTGGATGGGAACAGATGATCTAAAATAATGTTCAGAAATGGCAAATCGGAGAAGGAGGATGGGAAGACTTGTACAGAAGACCACAAAGCTTCAGGGGACATAGAGGGTGGGGGGAAGCAGATGTGACTCAGGGAATTAATAGACAGGGTGTAGCAGCTTCAGGTAAGGAAAAGGAAAATTCACTCACTGAGTGGCGGAGGGAAAAAAGACCAGTGAAGGGAATAGACAGTACCACAAAATGGGCAAACAAAATGCAGCACTTCCCAAAAATAGGGTGGACAATCTCATCATGCCTTGCTCAGTCTGAGGTGTTAAGAGCAGTGTAATCCAGCTGAGCTTGATCAATGTGGAGAAATTTATAGACT